GGGGTGGATCTGAGGCGGTGGTGGCGGCGATGGTGGTAGTTGTGGATGAGGGAGGGGGATAGTGCGCGACGAGGTGTTGCGGGATGGTTAGTTTGCCGGTGCCGGGGAAGCCGTTGATGTGGATTATAGGAAGGGGCTTGGGGGGTGGAGTGGGCATTGTTCTCATGAAGTATATGTGGGGTAGAGGAGGGAGTTGCTGTGCGACGGTTGGGTTGGATGAGACGGTGCTGTTGGAATCTGAAGTGTAGCAGGTCAAGGCAGAGAGGGAAGAGAGGAGTGAGCTGGGTTTCGGTATCGGAGATTGATTGTCGTCCGATTTGTGAATAAGAGTGGGAGATGTCTGTTTAGCTCAAAGTAAAATGCAAATGATGCAGAGATTTAGGAGCTGATGGCTGAGAGAGAGAGAGAGAGAGAAGTTTCAGAATTATTTATGCAATCCGGATTGTCGGCGTGGAGAGGATTTATACTGGGTGAGGATGAAGTGCACTCACTCTACATAGAAGAAAGTATCTGGCAGAGAGACCCGGTGGATATCATTCTCCTTAATTAAGAAATCAGTATTATTCGAAGAATCCAGGGCCAAAAATGGTAGCGATCAATTAATCAGTAGGAATTTGTCAACTTTTTCCAGAGAGTAAATCACTTATCTCTGCAACAATACTGCAAGCTTATTCCCGATTAATAGAACATAAAATGAAATGAAGTATGAACCCACTCTCAGGACTTGGCTTCTACATGGCATAAAGAGTAGATTTTTCCCAATTTAAGAATTCTTACTATCAAAGGAGGCATATATTAATCTGGATCAGAATCAAAGTGCTATGGATTGTCCCCAATGCACTTAAGCCACACCTTCAGTCTCGCCGCTCCCCCGTCAAACTATGAAGACAAAATCACTGGGTTTCTCCCCTCACTTCCTAGCACGGTCACGATATAGTCATACCAGTATGAGCCAAGACCCACAATCCAATATCTTCCCTTCTCATCTGCAAGGTCTTTCTGCGCTTGCTTCATGATTTGTTGACACTCGTCGTGTCGACCAATCCGTGATAAGATTTGAGCGATGGAGTACAAAACAACACCATGATTGAAACCCTGATCCCAACCTGATTTTCTCAATAATTCTGATGCACGCTGCCAACGCGCAAGTGCAGTGTCTAGGTGACCTTGGAGATGTGAGATTCTTGCCAGTCCGACCCACACGCGAAAATGCTGGGTAGTCTGGCTGACATCTGGATCAGTAATTCGCTCGACGACTGACAAAAGCTCTGTCAAGCATTTTTCAGCTCTCATAAGCAATCCACATCGAATAAAGCTTTCTATGAGGCCGAGCCGTAATTGTCTCCCTGTACTGATGTTATACCATCCATTTTTGAAACTTATTTCAAGCGGTTTCTCGATAATTTTTTCTGCTTCCTTTGGTCTTCCAACCTCGCAGTACAATGCGGTGATATTTGAGATTAGATTCATCTGCCAACCAGTACTTACGTAGTAATCCTCTGCTGAAAATCGACTGAGGATTTGCTCCAAGTATGGCAGCGCCTCTTGAAATCGACCCTGGTTTCGTAATATTCTCCCGATCATCACATCACGACTTTGTAAAACCAGAAGCTCCATCGATGATGGAGCATCTGGATGAATGGGCTGCCAGACATTGAGCTTTTCTTGGGCCCGTTGGAGATCGCCTTCTCTGATAAGAGTCTCTGCAAAAGAGACTACGATATCTCCTTTCGTGGCATTCCATCTCACATCTGAAACCAGAGCTTCGTCAAGCCCCGGCAAAGCTATGATGTTGATATGGTTTTCGAGAACTGTATATGACTGCTTGAACTTGCCTTGCAAACGAAGAATTTTGCTCTCGACACAGGTAGCCCATCCTTTCAGATAACAATCTTTCTCATTCGACAGAAGATTTTTAATTCTGTCAATGCATTCGTTTTTCCACGGAAAGTAGCGGAATCTTGCAGCAGAAAGAAGCATAATAGTAACAGCTTTCTTGAGAGCAGGGTAATTATCACAGACAGATGAGTCTAATTGGTCGAAAATCTTCAATATCCGAGGGATATGAACAAACATCTCTCGTCCAACAGCACCAAAACTATGACTTGTGAGCAGCGAATCTAAGTGGTTAAAAGGAGACATACTCATCGTCAACATATACACTGAAAGGAAATGCATGAGCGACGAGCAAAATAGCCTGTATCTGCCATTTAACACGCTCTTTGTGAGCAACTCTATGAGTTGCACAGTCCTGAACGAGGGGGTGAACTGATATCGCCTTTCCTTCAGTTCCCGTGGTATTTCTCTGGATCAATGAGAATCCAAGCAGATGCCCAAGCTCTTCATCCAGTTGCATTTCATCCCCGAGGAGAGCGGTCAATTCTTGGTTAAGACCTGTCTCTTTGGGTGTGATATGGGCGATTTCCCCGTCGCGGCCCCACACCTTTTTCACTGAGCATGCTCTGCGGAGCATTGTATCGGTGATATTACCGCCCTCGAGATATGAGAAAAGTATTAAAAGGCCTGAAGCTCGTGGAGCGTCTCTTTCAAGTTGACGAAAGTTCAGCTCCCAGACAGTCGCCACGGTGTTATCATAACCACTTATTCCAGGATTGATCTTGAGTATTTCGTACTGCTTTTCTTGAAAGAGGCGCTGATAGTCTCTCAGCGACTTCTGTCGTCTCCGGATAAAAGCACCAGCTTGATCAATTGCCAGAGGAAGGTATCCCAGCTTTCTTACAATAGCATTAGCCTGGTCGAGATTATCCTGCGTTATATCACTGATAGCAGCTTTTTCAAGGAGTAAACCTATAGCAGCATGCTCATCCAGGGATTCCACGGCTTGACCTGCAGGAGCAAGGACACCGACGGCTACTGGATCGCGACTTGTGATGATAATGTGACCCCAAGAACAGACCGGAAAATATTTTGAGAGTGAGACAGAGTTCAGATCATCTGCGCCATCGAAGATCATGAGCCAGTGAGTATTTCTGGGTCTGGCGAACCACTTTCTCAAGAATTCTATCTTGTCAGGTGTGCTACCCAGGTGCAGTAAGTCACAGATACGCTGGAAATCGGCCATCAATGTAGTGTTTGAAGTGGCATTGAAAAACACCACACCATCTTTATATCTAAACCGATTACGCAGAGCGTACTGCAATGCGCTGTGTGTTTTACCAGTTCCACCTGCTCCGAATTAGCAAAACTAGACCTTCAAATGATGTAAGTGTGAAATACCGAGGCCAGTCAGTGCATATATCAACTGTCTATCCGAACTAGACTGACTGAAATACTTGTCCATATTGTCTAGAAGTTGTTGTCTTCCTCGGAATGAAGTACACCTATCGAACGGCACATCAAATACAAGTTCTGTGTCTATATCAAGTTTCGAAACTATTATATTGGTTAGTCATGCGCCGTAATTTGTCAAAGAACTTATGACTGACATTGCTCTTCTCGCGAGCAACTAGCGGGACTAGTAAGTGCCCTTGTGATATCTTGTTTGAACTTGAGTAGGCGAGTGACTACCGGTCTGTAATTTCGGTCCTTCACAGATGAGAATCGTGCAATATTTCGATGATCAGCGAATTGGCCGATCGGGATCTCATTTGGGATGTTGAGGATTGCCGACCGCTGCTCAACAACCTAAACTGGACAGTCAGACCTATCACCTAATTCAACTTTATTGGCGTACCATTCGTTTAAAAATCCCAATGCTTGTCATTTCCATCTCGAAGAATGATACAATTTGTAACTTCCCTGCTTTCTCCACAAAGTCTTCTGTGATTTCAAATAGCACTTTGGAATCTTTGCGAAGCAAGCTTAGCAGTCCGCGAGCCGGCCGGAAAGGGGAACAAGCATGGATTATATTCGCTATGACCTTTCCTGTATCGGCAACACCACTGCCACTATGAGGGGTTGCTACGTCATTAGCATGATTGAAATTGAATGGCAGATATTGCAATATACCTAGAAAAATGACTCCGTAGGCGGCATCTTGTACATGTTGCTGCTCTCTTGGGCACCGTATGAGAAGGGCCTAGGAGCAGGATTAGCCAACTTCATTGAGGTTTAAACAGTTTCGTACCTTCTTCACAACAATTCCACCAAGGCTATGACAAATATAGATAATAGGTCTCTTACATTCCTGCTTGGTTGTAAGCAAACGCTAGCGTGTCTCAGCTGGAAATCAAACCTTTTCCGTCTTCCTCAAATCGACCAGCTCTGACAGAAGTTTCATGGATATATTTCTAAGATCCTGGTGTCCAGTAAAATTGTTGAACCGTGCATTGTATCCGTATGTCATGATACGGATATTTGGCAACTCCTGTGGCAATAGATCACGAAGCCACATGACTCCACTCTGCTTGTGGGTCCAAGTCTCTATTGCATCTCCGTTGAGCCCGTGAACCGCGATGAGGCTGGATTTGGATGAGTATAATAATTTATAAAGGATACTTGCTTAGTCCTTACTCATATGTGATATCGTCCTGGCTAGGCGGTTGGTAGAGGACTGTTAGTCCGTATTCAGTACTTGTGTTCATTCTAGGCGGTTTGTTTCGAGACGTGCTTGACCATCTGTTGGGTAAAGCTCTGATGGATAACAGAGAGCTTGATTTCGAAGGGAACATCTGTCCTTTAAGTACTGGCATGATGTGCTGCCTCGGAAACTAAAATAGTCACAGGACTACAGGCGAGAAAATCTCACCAATAGAGGGAGGAGTGCAAGCGCCTGTGCCTAATATGACAGTAATAACGTAAGACTTCCAATAGGCACCCAGGGTGCACGATAAGACTTTGCGGTTCGGATCGCAGGAGTGGTGGGGCAGATGAGGGGTAACTTTGTGTACCTTGGTCATATCGGTTTAGTATAATTTATCTTACTCCATGGTGAAGCGAGAATCCAGCTATTGGCTATAAAGGCAAGCTACCTCCCACGCAAAGTTAGTGGTTTTTGACCGTTCCCAGTTACAAAATCATCTGCTACTAAATTCACAAAGATGATTAAGTCTACACCGAATTACATTGTACTACATTGCATTCCAATCTCCGGTGATACCAACTGATATAGAATTGATTAGGAAGCTATACGGAAATTAAATACCACGCAAACTGGTTTTAAAATATTACGAGATCGGATTCAGTCAAAAAAACTCCTCAATGAATCGGCTTTGATTCAAATGCGAAATTGGGTTCAACGTCTAGGCTACTCGGTAAGCATACCTACTCACTGCTCACCGAGCATGTCTGATATAGTAGACACAACCTAAATAGATTAGTGATCTTGACAGACTCAATGTAGTCCATGTTGCTGGTACTAAAGGAAAAGGCACTACTTGCGCTTACACAAACTCTATCCTTCAACAACATCGCCTTTCACTTGGGACTCCTCAAAAGATTGGGCTTTATACTTCACCCCATTTAACAACTGTGCGCGAGAGAATTCAGATCAACTCAGAGCCATTATCGGAGGAGAAATTCGCCAAGTACTTCTTTGAAGTCTGGGATGCTCTTGAACTTGAAGATCTCAACTCGGCTATCAGACCATCTTACTTTCGATTCCTGACTCTTATGTCATTTCATGTCTTCATGCAAGAGGATGTTACCACGGCCATTTACGAGGTCGGCGTTGGAGGCGAACTAGATTCAACTAATATTATTGCCAGCCCTGCTGTTACTGGTATTACTACACTCGGTATCGATCACGTTACTATGCTTGGTGATACAATTGACAAGATAGCATGGCACAAAGCAGGGATCTTCAAGAAAGGATGTCCTGCGTTCACTGTACCTCAGGTATCTGATGCGATGGAGGTCTTAAAGGAACGTGCAGCTGAAAAAGGAGCTTGTCTGAGTATAGTTGAGGAATATCAGGCGGTCTATGAGATTGACATTAAACCAGCAGAACCTTTCCAACGGACGAATGTTTTTCTAGCTATCAAATTGGCAGAAACCGTTCTGAAAAAGCTTGGAGTTGTCACAAGTTTCAGGGGTAGTGAACTGTCTACCCTATTTATCCAAGGGCTTGAAGATACTTTATGCCGAGGGAGATGCCAAGAACTAGTCATGGGTCATGAACATTGGTATCTTGATGGTGCGCACACTCAAGAAAGTCTCGAAGCAGCCTGCTCTTGGTTTGGAAGAATATCGGGTATCAGGTTGGTTTCTCTCCAATTCACTGTTAGACTGGAATGCTCACTGAAATTCGGCAGTCTTCCGCGCGTTCTTATATTTAATCAACAATCTTCGAGAGACGCCATTTCGCTTCTCAAAACCGTCTATAATACTCTAGACAGAAGTTTCGGTCTCAAATTCACATGCGCCATCTTCTGCACAAATAGCATGAATAGACTGAAGCCGAGTAATATCGGTGCGTATCATCATCTAGCACCTACAATTTATGCAATGAAGTAACCGAAAAAAAAATATACTGGGACTAACCTGTGTGAACTCAAGAATTTATGAATCAAAACGTCGACCCAGATGCGGTCCAGAATTTATCTTTGCAAAGAGAATTAGCGCAAACCTGGAAAGAGCTGAACCCCGGAGATGAAGTGATCTGCTTGCCCTCGATAGAAGCCGCTGTTGACCATGCGAGAGCGATTGCCAGAGAAAACCGCGAATTGAAAGAGACCGAGATATTTGTCACAGGAAGTTTCCATCTTGTCGGCGGTGTGCTGTCTATATTGCAAGAAGGCTAAGAGATTTAGGAGCGTGCACGGTGCGAGAGATTGGATTCTTTCGGAATTTTTTCCAAGGCATAATGAAGCAGACTTGCTTGGTTTGACTTGGCTAGGCTGGTCTTCATTTTACAGTTCTGAGCAAATAGTTCCCTCCTCTCTACCCGACCCCGGCACCTTCACCTTCTAGTTCAAGCTGTTACTCGTCCATTTTCCTTTTTGGCTTCACTAGGCAAGAGTCTTGCCCGAAATATCCGCAAAAGCTAGAATGGCAGCTACATGCTATTATCCCGACCCTCAGACATCTAAAATATAGCCACAGGGCTTAGTTGCAATCAATTCGTTCCTACGATCACGTTTACCTCAACTGTCTTGATTGGTGAATTGATCAGGCTTACGAGTTGACAAGGTTCTTATTGACATGGCTAGTCGTCATTATCGTTTAAATTAGGCCATTTGGATGCCAATGGCCGATTCACTTGGCCGCTAGCTGATTAATTGTGAGCGAAATTAATAATGTGCGGCTCAAGTCTTCAAATTCTTCTTCCTATAACGAGGCATTCTACACGGTTTTGCATTAATGAAATACAATCAATTTGTCTACTTGTGCTTGGCTTACGAATATGTATGGATAAGCAATCAGTAAGGCGGTCTTCGGATGTAGCACAAGACAATATGGCGCATCTGGTTTTGCCGCGTGGGGTCTCCTTAGCTGCCCCTCACAATCCCCGCTTTGCGCATCCGTGTTTCTTGAATAGATCATGTGACTTACGGGGACAAGGGCAGGCACCGCCGATTGAATTTCACCGCCGCGAGCTTCAACACAAATCGTCTCTACGCGAATGACTTTACCCTAAATATCTTGAAAATTGGATCTTGCTTCAGCTTTGTGCAAGTCTGCTTGCAGTCAGCCTCGTGGTCTATCTATTATTCGTGCCAGCATCAATGCTGAGGCACATTCAGCCGCCCTGCTCATTCCGTCTTAAGCCACGTTTCCCAACCTCGAATTTTTGCGGACGCGCGACCCTTCTAGCGCCGTTGAAGGCGCCCAAATTATCATTTACTACAATGTCCTCAAAAAGATTGACAAAGAGGAGTTCTGATCACGATGAATCGATTTACCCCTCAGAGGCACAGCAATCTGCACAGCGCAGACTGGAACTCGATCTTCATAAATTACGTTGCCTAGCCTCATCTCTTCTCGACGGCAATCCCATTTGCGTACACGTGGATAAGCTAAACAGTGAATTTAGTAGAGGCTTTCTGCTTACTATGGATAATGGGTGTAAACTCATTGCAAAAATACCACGCACACACACAGAACAAGCCTTCCTCGCGACTGAGGTAGCGACTCTCAAATACCGTATGCTTCATATCATGTTAGACAAACTCTTTGAAGCTGAAATCTTCTAGTGCGCCAATATACATCCCTTCCAGTTCCAACTGTCCTCGCCTGGAACCCAGATAAGACAAATGAGATTGGTTCGGAATATTTGATCATAGAGAAGACTCCTGGTGTTGCTCTAAAAGACTTGTGGGGAAATCTAAGTACCCTGGATCGCTACAGCATAATTGAGAAGATTGTCGCTATGGAGACTGAGCTTGCAAATCTGGATTTTCCAGCCTTCGGTGCTCTCTACTTGCGGGGTTCGGCATCTGCTCAACCGAAGTATTATCCGTTGGCGTCTGAACGCGACTGTGGTGAATCTTTCTGCGTTGGACCAATATATAAGTTGGCAGAAGCAGATGACAACACGGAATCGTCTGGAGATTTAAAGTCTTTCGGGCCTTGTCAGTCTATTTCTCGCATCCACGTTATTCCTTTATATTTGTTATTGGCCATCAACATTGTTCTAACCATCCTTTCAACCTACTGTAGGGTTATCTTTTGAAGATTTCGCCTCGTGCTTCGGTCAACAACAGGCGATTACCCAAACAATTCGCCAGAGTGTCGAAAATAAGTTCCAAGCTATGACTCAAGTTCATTTCGACCCTATCGATGAAAATAGAGCCCTGCTAGAAAAGGCCTCGACTTTGACGCCTATTTTGACCTCGGACAATCGAGTCCAGCGAGTCTCGAAACCAACTTTATGGCATAGTGGTTTACCTCTTGACGACATCCTGGTTTCTGCGGCACAACCTACAAATATTCTTGAAATTATCGGTTGGCAGTCAGCTAAAATACTTCCTTTATTTCTACAAGCACAGTTCCCCAAATTTCTTGGAACTTCCAGATCTCATAAACTTGGCGATTCTATGCCTAGCCTCTCTGGTTTTGCTGGACTTAGTCCCGAACAGAAGCAAAGCGTACTTCAGAACCAAGACACAGCCGCCCGTACCAGATATTACGAAATGTGCATATTTGACTACAATAACCCAGTTTATGAGGCATTGAATCTTGACCCAAAACTGACTGAACTGTATCGATACCACGATTTATCCACAGAGGGTGATATACTAGGCCTTTACAGCTACCTGATCTCTGTCTCGGCAGAATGGGATAGTTTGGGATTATCTGGCGATTGCCCATTTCAATTCACCCCGGAGGAGTTAGTGCAGTTCCAGAAGCAGCATGCTCAATTTCGCGATGCTTTGAACACAAGGAGCTCATGAACTATGACCGTTTATTGGTGGTGATGCGAGTCAAAAAGTGGCGGACAAAGATGCCAGGGATTTCTGGAAAGAGTTTGTTTGTTAGGTATAATACTTTACCAGTATGCTATTTGTTATTTAATAATGATAGAAGTATGAATTCAGTAAATATTGGGTACTTAGAGAAGTATATTTCTTAGTCTGGTATTAGATATAAGTATTCTAATTCTTTTTATACTATGATATAGTATTTCTTAATAATAATAAATAACAAGCCAGTAAGCCGAGTATTATTACCAACTTCTGTAGGACTATGAGGAATGATCAGAGAAAATAAGTAAAAGAATAACTAAAAATATTTACCGGCGACGATCTAGTGGCCTGGGGGAGTTGAGGAAATATTAGTAATTAATTAGATTTGGGCACAGTTGAGAGAAAGCGTGTCTAGGATAAATTAAGTAGAGATTAAAGTATAATATAGTTGTCGGGGAAGTAAGTTGATTGCAAGGTGTTTTATAGAGATGGAGCAGTGACTTTAATTTATATTTATAATCTTCGTTCTTTTTTTAAAAAGAGATATAATCAAGCTTAGTGTTATTTTGTGTATGCGGGATATTGAAAGGACTTAAAAGTCGAAAATTATCTTAAAGTAGTTGATCGAGTGAGGAGTATGGTAAAGTAAGTAGATAATTTCGGCCCACGGTATACCGATCTTGTAGAAAGATAACGCAGTTGATACGGCAGGCATAGCAAGCACTCCACAGACGTAAGTATAGTGGATGGTGAGAAAGGGCTGTGGAGATAAGGTCTGTAAAATAGTTATAAATAGTCATAGACATTTCTAGATAGATATCAATATCTGAGAACCATGTTTTTCTTTTCCCCCATATGGCAAAGAAGCAGCTTGAACCACCTGAGAGACTAGCCCTCCACGAAAGAGGACCACGCCGTGGCGAACGGATGCTTTATTATGATGCGCTCGCTGGGGGTGTTCGTGGCTGTCGCTGCGGGGACGACGACCTTGCAGAATGTTTTTGAGGGGGCGGTGGCAACAGCACAGCAGACGATCGAGGGGTCATCTCAAGAGGTGTGTACGCGATGCTCTAGCTTATTCTTCGGGTCTACACCCAAACGTGACATTGGCCTATTAACGCCCACGTTTCGGTCCAGATGATCGATTCGGCCCGCCACACGATCGAGATGATACCTACGCTGCCGGAGCCGGAGCGCTCAATTGGTATGTGTTGAGTTACTTACAAGCTACCTTGTCTACCTATCTACCGATCGACCGATCGACCGATCGACCGATCTACCAACGTGTTGGGATCCACGGCATACGCTAATTCTCACTGGTAGTGGTCGATGCCTACGCCGCAGCCTTCGCAGCCCTATTCGGTATCTGCGTGATCTCGGCCGGCTTAATCGTGCTCAGCCTGAAAGGGGTCCGTGTGCAGGTACTTGGATTCGGAGAGTATGGCAAGCAAGCTGGGTCTGAGACCGCTGAAGAAGAGGGGAGCTTTGAGATGGAGAGAGCCAGGCCATAGAGTGGGAGTTTCAAGTTGTTTCCTTGCTTGGAGGTGGGTTGTCTCGTGCTGGGTACAGTTAGTACGGTACACACTATCTACCTATCTACCTATCTGTCTATCTGTCTATATATCCATCCATCCATTGGCGTTTGATGAATCTCATGCACCAACTATAAGCCCGGTCTTCCGCGCCGTGCCAAACGAAAAAGGTGGGAGGGGAAGGGGGTCTTGCTTGGATAGATAGGCCTTGCAGTGAGAATCCACAAGTAGAATAAGTAAGTATGTATGTAAATTGTACAGTTCCATTGCGGTGTGTGTCTCGGGCAAGGCAGAGCAGAGCAGACGCTCAGCCGAGGGTGACACGCCAGCTTTCTTCTTCTTAGCATCATATCATATCGATGAGCCCCGGCAATCAAACCCCTACAGCCGCTGGGAGGTGAGGTACTGTACATGTATGCATGCATCCATTACACATAGCTTCAACAGGATTAGATCTATTAGCGCGGGGTGGGGGACGAAGATCGAGTATATTTACAAGAGTATGCACACATAGATAAAAACCTCAACCACTACCCATACCGGACACACATCGCGTCGCGTCGCGTCGCGTCGCGTCCCCGAACGGCCAGGATGAGAAATCCACCAACCACAGAAAATCATACACCGACGCTTATGGAAAGGCCCGAAGCTATATACTTATACATAACCCCAAGCTGGGCTGCAGTGGAAATGTGTCAAATCAACTCAAGTGCCGGTCTGGATTAGTTTGTTCCCCTCAAGATGGAAAGAAAGAGGTCTAGGTCTACAGCACGTCTGCATGCTCTCTAGAGGCATGATGGACTGGATGGTGCTTGGCGTTGCCGGTCTAATCGGCCTTCTTGCCCTTGTCGACGGGCAAGGGAGCCTCGCTGGGCGCTTCGGGTTCGTGTTCTTCAGCGCCGGTTGCAACATCAGCAGCTGCTGGCTCGTCGTTGGCGACGGCAACTTCCGCCTCGGGCTCGACGTTCGTCTCTGGTGCGGGCGACGGCACCGCCGAGGCAGGCGCCGACGCGGCGGCCTTCGTTTCATCCAGCGGAGGGAAGATCTCCTGGAACAGGTCCGGCAGGAACCGGTCGAGGCGCTTCTTGGTCTCGGTCCAGATCTTTTCTCGGGTTGCGTCCTGGGACGGCGGCACGAGGTATCCGCCGTCGGCCATGACCAGTAGAATGTTCTTGAGACTCTCGGGGATGGCTTCTTGCTGTGGGATTGTTAGTCTTGCTTCTGTGACTCCCAAAGGAAAGAACCTACCAAACTGTCGCCCTGGCCGCTGTTCATCATCCGATCCAGAATGTCTAAGATCCGCAGCCAGAGGTCGAGCATCCCGTCCCAGTTGGGAAGCTGGTCCAGATACCGCAGGAAGATCTTGCACACCAGCGTGGCCACCTGCACGCGCGTCTCGCCCATCCCCACGGGGTCCGAGTGGTAGATTTCGGGTTTCAGGAGGCGGAGGATCAGAGGGAAGAGCACCTGGTCGAAGATCGCGGTCCATTCCTTCTCGTCGGTGGCGCTGATCTGGAGAGAAAGGAGCGTTCGTTGCAATGTCGAAACGGCGTGGTGACGGATGTCTCGGCAGGGGTTGATGCATTGGGCCGTTAAAGACTGGAAAATCGGAGACCAGTAGGCTGACCAGGCTGTTTTTGTGTCAATCGGTGTTTTCGACTGGCTGAGCTGGCTACATACCTTCGTTCTCTTCGAGGTGCGATTGCTTGATCAGCGCTGGGATGCGGTTTGTCAAATGGAAGACAAATTTGATGGCCTTGACTCCCCTCGCAACCACCTCGTTCTCGGGACTAGATCTCGGATGCTTGACAGCCTTGCGTCGGCCGTGTGCATCCCTCTGTCGCTCTTCAATGTAGCCCACACTGCCAGCGCTGATGAAGTCGTTCGCCAGGCCAACAGCAGACTCGTAGTTATCAGCCGTGACAATTGGTGGGTTCGATTCCACAATGGTCTGCAGCAGGCTGAACACCAGCGGAGCCGCTTCCTGGTGCTGGTGCAGCCTCTGCAAAATGGACCAGAAGTCCGGCGAGGCGGAGACCTCATTCCGCAGAGCCTCCGCATCAGACATGCATCGTGAAAGACTCTTGACTACAGGAATGGCAATGCTTTCAAGAATGTCCTGGTCAAAGCCAGAAATCCCATGGAGAATCACCGGCACACGCATATAAGGCTGGTCCTATCGTCCGTCAGACTTGTATGATGAATGTTAGCAAAGGGGGCCATACATAGCTCAAGCGCAGCAAGTTCATGAGGTAGTAAATGATCCGTGACAGCGCCAAAGAGTGGATGTTCCGGGCATCTCGGACAAAAGCTTGCAGAGAGGTCAAAAGTCTTTCGCCAAGGGTTTCCAATGTCTCGGAATCCCGGAGAGTAAGGACAGTGGCCAATTCCAAGAGGTAGAGCATGCCCGGATCGTACTTCGGCTTACTGGCATTGACTCTGCCGTTAGCCGCCCTGGGTCCAGCTGCCGGACGCTCCGACTTAACAACAATAACGGCCGGGGCGCTTTCTTCAGGGAGTTGGTCCAAAAGGGCTTCCACCAGTATCGTCACCGTCTCCAAGGGAAGGGTCCTGAAACGTTAGTACACAACAACCACAAACGGATGCATTTGACTCACTTGATGTTGGCCAGAATTTCATCGATGGAACAAGCTGAGATGCAGTCAACCGTACATAATGTGTTATCCAGCTCCTCATCCGACGGCTCGGGAGGCTCATCCGCTGCGTAGCTGGATAGATATGAGGTGAATGCAGACAGCAGACCCGTCTCAGCGCCTCGTCCGTCGCGCTCCACGACTTGCGAGGGGTTCTGCAGCGGAATCGGAGACAGCTCGAGCTCCGCGTTGAGACTAGAACTGAAGGGGGAAATAAGAGCGTTGATGAAAAGATTGTTGAGAATGCGGATTACATGGGTCCAGCCCTCTTGAACCGTAGCCTCATTGCCCGCGAGAACTCGGAAGAGGACCACCGCGGCCAACTGAGCTCGGAAGTCGCGTCCAAATTTGACGGCCAATTCGCTGACCATCACACTCTTCTCTCCAGCCTGCACCTCTGTGTTGAGGGCGGTGCTGGGAGGATTCTCCGTGGCTAGAGTGCTGATCGAAGCCAAACAGAAGACAATGCGGTCGAAGGCAGCCGTCAGACCATAGCGGGCAGCGATCTGCGCACACTGGTCGAAGCCCGTCACCACGCGAGAATAGACGGCATCGTCCGAGGCGGACATGAAGACATACGACAGCGTCGCAATCACGGGCCTCCAGGTAGCTTCGAACATCTCCGCATCATAGATGTTCGTCTCGCCCACCACAAGCTCGCCTGCCGAAGAAGACTTCAGCAGTAGCTCCCGCCATGCATAATCGAATGCATGCTGGTTATCATGCTCCTCAGGCAGGATAATCTCATTCTGCTTAATAGAGTCATAGACGCCTTGCAGGAACTCTGGCGCAAAGTCCTGGCCTGCGTTGACACCCCGCAGGTTTCGAGAGAAATCCGTACAGGACATGCGATTCTGCGATCTGATATTCGAATTGTATAGATCGGTGTTCAGCATAATGATACCATAAGTCAGCACGAAGAGGGCATCCTTGTCCGCAATCTCGGTAGGCTTAGCCTTTTGCATGTACTTGTCTGTAAAGGTGGTAACGATACGCTCGATCAGCGGCGATTCACCGGGCAGGCGGAACGCACCCAGGAGATCGCGAAGGGCGTCGACCACACTCTGGCCGGAGAAATCGAAGAGATCGACGAAGGCATCGAGCAGCTTTTCGTTCGAACGTTTGGAGATGAATTCGCCCAGAACCTTCTTTGACAATCGAGTGGTCCCTTTCAAGAAACGAGCGATGAGGACCGGATCGTCGGGATTTTCGACAATCCCCTGAGAGGCTAGGTAGGCGATTCCCGCCTTGGGGTCCTCGTTGAATTTCTGAGCTCCTTTGATAATAATCTTCTTAGTCCGACGCTGGTGATGAAGTTCATCCTTGGATGGAAAGCCCTCTGTCGGAAAATCCTCGTCTAAGCGATCGTAGATAAATTGAACATAGCCCAGGAGAGCATCCAAGCACAGAGGTGGCACATTGGTCGTGCTCCAGGTGGCTGAATCGGGAAAAGCACTCCGCGAAAGCAACCCAATCATGTCCTCGCAGAGATCCGCGCGGTCGATATCGCAGTCGTAGTTGATAAACAACTCCACCATGAAACTTGGGATCCGTGCCAGCACGCCGATACTCTCCACCATCGCCTCCCGAGTTTCTGGCTTCCGAGAGCCTCCTTCGAGACCAAGCTTCTGGCGGTCTTTCACAGGGACCGGGGTCGAGCGGCCACTGTTCGACTGCGAAGGAGAGGGCTTCACCAACTTGGGCCTTTGGGGTACCCCATCGTACAGAGCCGGGTTGATTCCTGGCTCCTTGGGTATTTCTACCTTGGGATGGAGACAGGCGACCAGGTACGACAGATAAAGCTCCTGCTGAAGCTTCAGCACCGAGCGACAAGTCAGTAGCAAAGTGCCTGCCACCCTGAGCGATCCCGTCAGAATGGCAATGTTCTCGGACCGGACCAGCTGGAAGAGATAGCGACACAAATCATCTTGTGCCAAGTTGGCTAGACTCGGATGCTTCGCGATGGAGGGACCAGCAACCTCCAGGGCCACGTCAATGATTCGGAGGGCCATCACCTTCATTGGCTCGGTATGCTGGCGGTTGTGCGGGTCCAACAGATCGATCAAAACTCGGAACAATTCGCGGATGGAGGGCAGTGAATATGGTTTGATATCTTCGCCATCATCATCTTGAGGACTGGGAGGGGCGGTCACGGCGGCTCCGCTCAGCGACTGATCGGGAGTACTGTCTCGACTGCTGCGTTCCCGCTCGGCAACGGCCGTGTCCGAACCTATGGCGGACGGGTGCTGAGAAGTCACTGTGTCTCCATCGACGGAAGGATCCATTTTGAGATTCACCTGCTCCGGGTCTTTGGGTACCCGGGTCTCCAAGTCTGTTTCCAGGGTTTGCGAGACGTCCAGGTG